ACTCAAGCCTGGCCTTAGCTTTAGCCATTTCTTCTTTGCACAGTTTTTCTGCTTCTGCCGCACGTAGAACTGCTTCTGCCACATGTAGAGCTACTTTGGTCTCCAGTTTGGCCATTTCTTCCTTTTGCAGCTGTTCTGCTTCTGCTGCACATAGAGCTGCTTTGGCCTCCAGTTTGGCCATTTTTTCCTTTTGCAGCTGTTCTGCTTCTGCTGCACGTAGAGCTGCATTGGCCATTTTTTCCCTTTGCAGTTGCTCTGCTTTTGCCATACATAGGGCTGCACTGGCTGCTGTGGCATCGATTCGTGCTTGTGCAGCTTGAGCGGCAAAGCTCTCTGCTCTGGAAACTCGGGACGCATGGCTATGACGAGAAGATGCTTTAGAATGACGGGAGGCGCCTAAGACAGAAGGTTGCTATGACACACTGGAACAGGCCTTAGACCATTGTGACTTATGAGGAAAGGGTGAGCTTTCTTAGAGGCATGAGAGGAAGACACGTGTGAGCAGTGGGATGGCGCATGTGAATGATGAGACACTATGGACTTGGACTTCTCTGGTGTGACCTTTGCCGGAAGTTTGTCTTGGAGGTGTGACTTGAGGTGAACGGACAAGGCTTTCTTAGAGGAGAGGAAGCCACATATAACCACTGGGATGATGCATGCAAACGATGGGACACTTTGGACTCGGCCTTCTCTGGTGTGTCCTTCGCCTGAAGTTCGGCTTGGAGAGACTCCTTACTGCTTTGTAGTAGCTTCTCACGTTCCTTGTCCATCAGCTTGAGACATTGCATTTCCTCTTTGAGTGTTGAATCTCCTAGCTGAGATTGGATGTCTATGAGGCGGCATTCATAGTCTGTCCATTTTAGGAGAAGCCTGTCCATATCCTCTTCCAAAGAACGAATGCGCCCAGGGGAAAGCTTATCTTTGGATGCGTCACAGAGTCCCTGCAGATTCTCCCAGTATTCCTCATGATGCTGGTAGAGGTCATCCCACTTCTCCAGCAGGCTTGACCACTTAGCTTCAGTGGGCTTTCTTTGATGCCTCAAGTCATAAGGTTTCTGAGACATTTTTGCCTTTTCCCAATTTTGTACTTCAGGTTCTGCACACAAATCGAGGTTAGTTGGAAGGACCTGCTCTTCTGGCACATTGGAACTCTCTGCCTTGACTAGAAAAGTCCTGGATATTTCAGAAGACTTTAATAGAATTTTCTCTTTGATCACTAGGGTGCACTGTTTGCGTGGGTAAAGACTTCAGTGAAATTCACTTTTTAACCACCAGGGTGCACTGTCTGCAGGTAGCATAAATACAAGTCTGTTGTTTGCAGATTAGCCACCAGAGGGCGCTGCTCCTAGACTACACTTGAAAACAATGGTGTCTGCCGGCTTCCCCTCCAATCAGGATTACAAAGCTGAAAAATCCGTTCTGGAATTTATAGGAGTCTGGACTCCTGAGATGAAATTCAATTTGGATTTTAAGTGCCTGCAATTCTAACAGGGTATGGCTCCTTGCCCTTTCAAGTAAGACTTAAGGAAACAGCTGGATGGTGTCTTCAGTTTAAAGAAAGGCTTGGATTCATTTCGCAGATAACCAGGCAGGAAGGGGGAAAGGGGCTGGCTTCATTTTAAACGCGACAGAATCTCTCTTGAACAGCTAATTAGCTTTCTTTCTTATGCTGAATAAGCTCGCTAGCTCATGCCGTTTCTTAGCAACACAAACAAAATTCTTCCTCACTTTGAAATGCTGAGTTAGGCAGATTAGATTCAACACACATTTCTTCATGTTTCTAAGCTGTCTCTACATAGGCAAGCAGAGGAAACATGCAGGAGGAGACTTTCATTTTAGAGGAAAATTTGTCTCTCTTTTTACTCTCTTGCAGGCAGAGCAAGGCATGCAGGCGGAGACCAGAGATAGATAAATGCAAGAGAAGGTTTCAATCCTTTTTCCTTTAGGCAAACAGAAGAAGATTGATTTCTTTTTTTTACTTTAAGCGAAGAGAGAAACACTTAATATCCTTTTACTTTCCTGGCTAAGCAAAGAGATTGCTGAATTTCACCTGAAACAGGCAGAATTAATTCAACGGATGAATCATACAAAATTACTTTATTCCAGGCATCCTCAAGACATTAATTCACAGTTATTGCAGAAATTCCTCTGGAATGTAGATTGTAATTGGGACCCATCGCGTAGGTAAAAGGATAATAGATTTCTCCATTCTATGGCGCTCATAACCCTCGTGACTAGGATTCATGGAGAGATAATAGCCTGGCACATAAACAGGATATCCCATAATAAAAACACAAGACCCTCCCAGTGGCCAATCCTAACATAGATATAACCAGGTAACAACTAAAACTACATTTCCCAGAAGGCCATTCCTTAAGGGGACATTTTAACCCTTAAAATGCTACTTGCTCTACACACAGTTCTTAATTCCTAAGCTAGCTATATACTCTGACCAGATGGCTATATACTCTGACCAGCACAGTGGTGTTTATGTGGTTCTCCACTTGTTCTGAGATAGCACCAGTTACCATCAGTACTACCTTTGCTTTCTTTTGCCATACCTATTCTACTACTTTGTAGTGTTTGTATTTTGTGATCCACTGGAGAGTTCTCTTCTGAACTCTCCAGGTACTCCAACATCCTTTGTCCAGACTTTTTTTTGTCTTTTTTATCAAGAATGGTTAAATCTGAGGTGTTATATGGCCGGTGATTGATTGTCTGTTTAATTCTAAAGTTGCCAGAGCACTTTAGTTTCTTTTTTTTCTATTATTTTGTGATCTCACCAGTTCTTGCTTGCAGGCAAATTGTATTTGTCATTATTACTTTATTATTATGAAAGCATTGTTTACATATGCCCTGGGGAGGCAGAGGCAGAAACAGATCAATCAAGGTTGAATTGGAATTGATTATCTCAAATATGTTTAGGGACTTGAAAATTCCTAATCGGATTTGGTGGAGATTTGAAGCTGTCATGTCCCTTCTCAGAGTTCTTTCTTAGAAGGAAGCATGTCAGATCCATCAGTTTCAAAAACATAGAACTTAATGTTTTAATGGACATCTTTTTGATGGGGGGGAAATCATAGCTTCAAGTACTTAAAAAAAGTCATATAGAAGAAAACCAAGACTTGTCTACTTGGTGATAGTCAAATCTGGCCCTAGGTTCTGCCTCGGTTTACCTTCCCAGTAAGCAACCAAGTCGGAAGATCATTTAAAAGCAGTTTATTAGGGTACCCTGATAAAGTGGGATCTTCCTGTGAAAACACAACAAAGAAAAATGAAAGAGGAAAATTGGTTGGACAAGATAAATGTAATCCCTCCTTGCACAGTAAATCAGCTACAAAGCTTGTTTGAAGTTAGATAACCAGATGCCAGTTGAGTAACTTTTTCTTATCAGGAGGTAGTCTCAGGACATCCTTCTGTAAATTATCTTTTCAGTTTAGAAATGTTAAAACTATCTAATCCAGATGTCCCCAACCTTTTGGGCACCAGGGACTGGTTCAGTGGAGAAAGGTTTTTCCACGGACTGGAGAGTGCGTGGTTTTTGTGTGCTGCATGCATCTCGCGGATGGGGCTTTGCTTGTTTGGTTTCTTTCAGAAAACAAGGCAGAGAATATTGTAGTGGATTTAGCATACAGGAATAAAGATTTCAGTTGAAAGGAAAAAATTACAGTCTGAAGAGTTTAATAGAATTAATTATTTAGGGAAGTAGCAAACACACTTCACTGGTTGTGTTCAGAAAGAGGATTGAGAGTCAACTGACAGGATATTTTAATCTGATTCCTACACAAAGCAGGGAATTTGAACTTTATGCCCTTTCCAACTTAATTAATTCTAAAACCGGACATGTTAATCAAGAATGAATTACAATGTTTTTAAAAAATCTGACTCACATTTCAAAGAACATAAACAAATGATATAAAAATATGCACTATCATAATGTTTTTTATTTATTTTTAAATCATTCACTGGAGAAAAAAATTACCATTCTCCCCACTGCTCAACAAAATATAAATAATATTTTATTGAGGGGGGGAATGGTAAATATATACAAAACATAATATTTTGTTATGTTCATGAATTTTCTCCCACTCCCTCATAACTTCAACAATCATCAAGAGATTTGTGGAATTACATGTATATGGGGGGAAGCAGTAAATACCTGGTATTCCTCCAAGTTAAAAAAATATTTTCAATGAATTTGGATCTGAGATATCACATCTTGAAATTCTATCAGAAAACATTAAATTATTCTTGTAATCAAAACAATTTATCAGAAGACAAATGACAAATTACTTTGACCTCAGCTAACTTGAAACAATAAAAAATGAAGTAGCTATACAGTACTAAATAACATATTTGAAAAAACACCATTTTATTATATATATGTAAACTGCAACGTATTCATCAAAAATTATATTTGGTGCAATGTATTAATCCAAAACTAATTTGGTGTTTTAGCCCTATGTATTGCATTTGCAATACTACCAGATAAGTTATTATTATGCTTAAAATACTCTCAAAGCAAAATACATTTTTGAACTAAGAACTTCTGACAATACCTTTTACAAATACTTTTATCATACATAGCTATTGTAACATTGGCACCGATTCCGTTATCACCTCAGGAAACCAAGCCATAATAACAAGTTTCTCTTATCTAACGTCGGCCAATCAGGGCGATCTCAATAATCGGCTATTAACGATGGTTACAACTAAATACATCACAGTGAGGAAAGCAGCAACGCTATTATTCAATAAGCTCTTTTTGGAATTATTAAAGAAGAGTAAGCCAATGTTTCTCCAACTTGGTCTCTTTAAGATGCGTGGACTTCAACTCCCAGGACAGATCCCTGGCTTGGGAATTCTGGGAGTTGAAGTTCACACATCTTAAAGCGGCCTCGTTGGAAAAAGTACAGTGGAGCAAACAAATCCAAGTTCAATTCCCGTTAGGCCAAAACATCAGCCACCTAAGTGTGGTGTCACGATGCGAGGCCCTTCTACACCTGCGCAAGATGGCCGTCCCGGTTAGGCTGTGAAGGATGCGGCTGACTCGGAAGCGGTTCTGCTCCGCTTTGTTGGCCGCCTACTTGGTCTTTTCCCTCTACGCGGCTTACAGCGTCTTCCTGAAGCCTCGCCGGCCTGCTGCCTCACGGCCGGGCCAGCGGGAGAAGCAGAGGCGAGGTAAGAAAACGGGGACGCTTCGCCCCCCCCACGCCCCCAGCACCATCAGGTGGAAGTAGACCGGTTTTTTTGCCCTTCAGGCTTCGGCTTCAAGGCTGGCCGTAAGTCTGGCTGAAGTCAGTAGATCCGCATCGGCCGAGGGCTTACCTGCTGAAACTTATCTTTTCTTCTGACGCATTAAGCAGTACAGTGCATGGCAAAACGGGATCCCGGCCTCTCTATTGTGTATGTTAGATAAAGCTTCAAGTAATACCATCAAGGGATTCGCATATCCCCACAGAGTTAACTATCTTATGTTTTAACTTTAACAATTCAGAATCTGAGTGCTTCAGCATTAACGTCCGGACCGCTTGGAGTATCTCTGAAATCTTTTAATGTCTTTTAATATGAAAATTATGGTATAAGATTTGTTCTATAATGGTACTGTTAAAATAAAGGGAAGAGCAGAATAGGTCCATTTGCCCTTTTGGACCTATGTTTTATAACAGCATATAGTCAATTTAGTTTGGCACAATTATGTTCTTATAAAGAGAGCTGGTTTAGTGTGATGGTTGAGGCATCAGGCTAAAAATCAGGCTTGGTGATCTTGGGCCAATCACTCTCTTAACCTAGGAAGCAAACAATGGCAAACGTCTTCTTAAAAACCTTGACAAGAAAATTGCAGGGATTTTTCCAGGCAATAAGCAGGAGTCAAGACTAATTCAGCACTAAAACAAACAAAAATTTAAGTAGTGCTCTACTGTGATTGCTTCATACTGTACATTGTACAACATACTGACTTCAGTGAAACAGTTGGAATAAGGTTCTTTCCTTGTTGTGGGAGCTCCTTTTTTATATATATTAAAGTATAATCTGATTAACCCAGGATACCTCTGTTAGACACCACCAGCAAATCCTTTCCTACATTAGAAACTATTTTTCTATTGTAAAATAATGAGATATGGTGGAATATGGAGAAGTTATAGAACAAAAGTTACTGTTTTTAAATAAGGAATCAGGTTAACTTTTATAAATAAATGAAAATGGATTATAAAGAGGTGACATTAATATTACAGCCAGTGGTGAGATTCAGCCAGTTCGCACTAGTTCAGCAGAACTGGTAGCTAATTTTTTGTTGCCCAGGCCCAGAACAGACTTCCGGAAGCGGCATCCACACAAGAGAACTGCTTGTTCACATATTTGAATCCCACCATTGATTACAACATTTTCATTGGCTATCAGTCCTTGTTTTCTGTCTCTCATGACAGATAGATGGAGGTTTTTTTATAGAGCTCCAGCTTTTTGCCCACATTTCCCAACTCCCTCTCTCTTCTGTTTTCCACTATCTTCAGAATATATACCAGGAATGAGTACCTCAAGTTACCAGGCTTTGATTGACAGTTTAATTGGATCATTACCAGTATTCTGGTATATTTCTGAGCTATTATCTAACCCCAAATAATGTTCTTATCTCATAATTCCTATAAAGGATTGTACTAATTATTTTTGTATTCCATAGGAACTGTTGAAATTTACTTAGACATTCTTCAGTTCAGAACTGAAGAAGTTTCTTGGATGAGAAGCAAAACATTTTCAAGGAAAAAAACCAAGAAAGTCCAATTGAGAATCTCTGCAGACATTTTAAAAAATTAAAAACTTTTCATGAATACAAGATCTTCATTTTTTCCCATGCTATTGTATGTTCCCTTCACCTGTGCGAAAAGCAGATATCCAGTATTCAGGCACACTGGAAGATAACATGAGTGAAAAGCCACCCAATAAAGATAATTTCTAATTTTTTAAAAAGTAAGAAAAGGAGCAAATTAAATGGACACCTAAATATGTAGCTGAAATCTGTTGTACCCAATTTAGATTTATACTTCTGCTTTACCAAAGCTTTCTGTTGATAAAAAAAACTTTCCAATTTATGTACTGTATGTCTATTTAGTTGGCTCAGGCAAAGGAATTCATGTAGGTTGAGGTAATAACAATTCACTCTTTCTGCACATTGGAAAATAGCACTAGAAATTCAGTGTCATACATACACTTGCTTTGAAAGGGTTTATTTTCTGCTTAACAAAATGCTCAAGGAAAGTCACTAACATTACAATAACCTATAGTAATGTCAAAGAGGAATATTCACAACATTTTATCAGACTTTAAATGTTTGCTGTTCTTTTTGTCGAAGTTTATTTTAAGTTGTGTAATGAGATATGCTGTTCTTTTTGAAAGTTCACCTACATAGTTGTTATTATAATCTGTAGGCCTTAACATTAGAAAGCTGAGGAAATAACATTTCTTTTGTTTACTGTTTCTGTGTATAATATTAGTTTATACATACTAAGAGAAAATTCATATATATACACATTTGGTGGTATGTGTGAATTAGGTTTTTGTAATATCCACTGTTTTTGTAGAGGTAGTCTTCAACTTACAACAGTTCATTTTGTGACTGTTCAAAACAGCACTGAAAAAATGACATGTATTTTTCATACTTAGGACCATTGCAATATCTCCATGATCATGTGATCAAAATTCAGACATTTGGCAAGTGACTCATATTTATGATAGTTGCAGTGTTGTGGAGTCATGTGATCGATCACCTTTTGTGTTTCTGACAAAGTCAATGGGGAAGCCAGATTTACTTAAAAACTGTGTTACTAATTTAACAATTGCAGTGATTCATTTAACAACTGTGGCAAGAAAATTCGTAAAATAGGACAAAATTCACTTAACAACTGTCTCACTTAGCAACAGAAATTTTGGGCTCAATTGTGGTCGTAAATTGAGGACTATCTGTGTATAATATACAAATATTCCTCAACTTACAATGGCAGTTGAGACTGGGATTTCTGTCTCTTAAAATGCACTCATAAAGCATGATTGCACCACTTAGTAATGACAATTCTTGCAGTCCCAGTTGCTGTTATTAATTGAATCTTATGGTTATGAAGCAAGACAACTTCCTGCTGGCTTCCTACAGCCAAGTCAGTGGGAAAGCCGTGAAACAGTTGTGAGTCCCAAGCAGCTCACTAACAGGCCAGGAGTAATAAGCCGTGGGGTGAGGGGGGGGGTGAATGGGTGCAGAAGGATGTGGATAGCAAGTAAAATAAAACTAAAGTGAGATCATAAGCACAATCACAGCTTCACTTAGAGATTGCTTCACTTAACAATCAAATTGCCAGCTCCAGTTTTGGTTGCAAAACGAAGACTACCTGTCTGCCCTGAATGGCAAAGGCTTTTCAAAATTGCAAATAGGTTCCTATCTGGAGATATTGTGGTTAATGTAGATGTTTTCATTATATGCTTTTGATACATGATTGTTAGTATGCATACAAAATGGGTTTGTAACAATTATTATTATTTGAAAGGCATATTGGAGTAACTGTCGCTCTTTGAGACAATATGAGATTTTCATGTGATTTTTCATTTTTGATTCCTAGAACATGCTATTTTGGGAATTGAAGAATGGAATCCTTGGGAAGTTGATGAGAAAATTTATTTGCAGCAGAAATCTGAAAGTAGCCTTCAGTTGCTGAAAAAGATGTCATTGCAACAAGAACCCACAAACTTCAGGGTACAAATTTGGGGAAAAGCTGCTATTGGTAAGCATTTGTAATTAATAAAGTAAATGCTGTTATTTAATATAATAACTTGTTTAATTTAATTGCAAACTTTTATCTTCTGAACTGTCATTGTATTCAGTAGATATAAGTGTTAGAAAATAATATATTTGTACCTTAAAAGGGGTTCCAAGAAAGTCAGAAGTATATTTCACTAATATTGATTAGGATTTCCTCAAGAAAAAATAATTAAGGTCAAATTAAATGTGAAATAAGACATATAATTGCCTGTCAACATATTTAAAAGTTAATTTGGATACTACGCTATTTGTAGTTATAAAAATTGTCTTTATAGTTGCATAATTTTATAGTTGTTAAACCCCAAGATCTACTTTTAAAATATGATGATATATAAGATATATGTGTGTAAACACACAAGCATAGAGATTGAAATGTTAAAATTGTATCTGTAGTTATAAAATTGTTTAACTGTATTTGTATATACCGTATTTTCCGGTGTATAAGACGATTTTCTAAACCCTGAAAATCTTCTCAAAAGTCGGGGGTCGTCTTATACTCCCAGTCGTCTTATACGCCGGAAAATACGGCCGAGCCGGCCACGTTTCCACAGGCGAGGCCGGGCCGGGCGGCAGTCATGGCTGGTGCGGCGGCCAGCGGGAGCATCGCACCTCGGGAAGCCGAGCCGGCCACATGTCTCCCCGGACCGGGTGGCAGTCAGGCATGAAGCTTGCCTGGCTGCCGCAGGGCTCTCCGCCGCCTGGCCCCATCAGTGGCGCCTTCCTCGGCCAATTTTGGGGAGCTGCCGCCGCCCTCGATGCTGCAGGAGAAGGAGACCTTGGGCTGCGAGGGCGGCGGGGCTGGCGGCGATCGGCCCCCCCTCGTCCCCGCAGTGGCACTCCCCGTTGCAGCCGCGGCCGTCCATGGTGCACCCGGCCTTGGCGCCCTCCTCTTGCGACGGCAAAGTGGCTGAGGATGCGGCAGGAGCAGCGGCCGGGTCAGGGGCAGTGGCGGGGACCCTGACGATGCTGCAGTGTCTGCTGCCGGAGCCGCTGCCTCCCGTCCTGCTCCCCTCCCCACCCGTTCAGCTGAGGACGCAATGGGGCGGCGGCCGGTAGCTGTTGCCTCCCGTCCTCCTCCTCCCTGCCCGTTCGGCGCCGGCTGCCTTTCATTCTCTCTCTCTCTCCTAACCTGGAGGGAGAGGGAGAGAGAGAAAGAGAGAAAGAGGAAAGAGGAAAGAGAGAGAGGAAAAAGAAAGAGGAAAGAAAGAGAAGAGAAAGAGAGAGGAAAGAGGGAAAGAGAAAGGAAAGAGAAAGAGAGGAAAGAGAGAGAAAGTTAGAGGAAAGAGAGAAAGAGAAAGAGAAGAGAGAGGAAAGAGGAAAGAGAAAGAGGAAAGAGAGAAAGAGAGAAAGAGAAGAAAGGAAAGAGGAAAGAGAAAGAGATAAAGAGGGAGAGGAAAGAGAGAGGGGGAGAGGAAAGAGAGGAAAGGGAGAGAAGGAGAGGAAAGAGAGAGAGAAAGAGGAAAGAGAGAAAGAAAGGGGGAGAGGAAAGAGAAAATGAGGAAAGAGAAAAAAGATTGAGAAAAGTGAGGAAAGAGAGAAAGGAAAGAGAAGAGAAAGAGAGGAAAGAGAAAGAGGAAAGAGAGAGACAGAGAAAGAGAGGAAAGAGAGAGAAAGTTAGAGGAAAGAGAGAAAGGAAAGAGAAAGAAAGAGAGAGAGGAAAAAAAGGAAAGAGAGAGAGGAAAGAGAGACAGAGAGAGACACTTTTGACATCTAAAATGAAGATAACACTGCATATATCCTTTTTTACCTTTATTTTATATATACACACACAAATCATAAAGGTAAAAAAGGATATATGCAGTCTTATCTTCATTTTAGATATCAAAAGGTTTTTGCGGCTCCCAGTGTTTTGTTTTCGGTGGGAAACATGTCCAAGTGGCTCTTTGAGTGTTTTGGGTTGCCTACCCCTGATATAGCCCAAACTCTATATTTTAACTGGAAAAGTTGGGGGTCGTCTTATACGCCGGAAAATACGGTAGTTGTATATGAAGTTATATAATCAATGAATAAAAACTGCTCCATAAAATATGTTGTGGGATGTTAGTTGCCATTTTCCCCCAATCCTGCTCTTTCCTTATCAGAAGAGGTGTTTGATAGAAAGAAGTAGAGTCCTTGCTCAGTTGTGAACACTTAACTGCTTCAATCCTTCCTGCTTGCATTAACCTGGTGTGGTTGTTGAATGATTTGTTCCTGGGCTCTGGATAAATGATTAGAAAAACACAGAGTGGATGTGGAATGCTGCTTGGAATTTGTACCTAAAACATTTACAGAAAATCAGTTGAATTGTTTTGATAGTTAAGATGATTGGCGGGTTACGGGAAGGAAGATGGTTGAATTGAGATTTTGAGCCCAGCTCAGGGAATGAGGACTCAGCTCCACATAGGAAGTAAGAGGAATTTCAGAGCATAAGACTTTGTGTTAAATAAATAAATAAAAACAGCCATTGTGGTGGAGTGGTTAGAATGCAGCATTGCAGGCTAACTCACTGCTCACTCCAGGAGTTCAATCCCAGGTAAGTAAAATGAGGACCCAGATTGTTGCGGCAATATGCTGACTCTGTAGCACTGTATAAAGCACTGTGAAGCATTATATAAATCTAAGTGCTATTGCTATTGCTATTTCTCATTTATCTATGCCATATAGCTACTGTTATATAGATTTCAGTTAGAGGGCCAAACCCCTTTTGTGTTTCTAAGGTTCTGAGTTGAAACAATTCTTGCAACCTCTGAAATCTCATTTCAAGCACAAAACATCTATTCCAAACTAAAAAAAAAATTTTTTCAGAGTGATCAGAATGGCATTGGAATACTTCCAGCAAATCAAAGCAATCAATTCAAATTCAAAACTTTCATATTTTCAATGTAATTTATAATGAGTCTTTGTATCTGTATGAACAAAAACTATGCTTTGCTATTTCTGAATCTTATGTGCCTATTATATGTGAATAATCAGTTGTTAGTGCTGTGCAAATTACAGTACTTAGTTCTTCTTTTGAAATTAGTGTTAGATTTGTTTGCTGGAAGGTAGCATCAGTGAATTGTATTCAAGAAAAAAGCAGTAGTTATTTTCAAGCACATCCTGGAGAAAAGTGAAAATCACTTTTTTCTGGAAAGGCTATTTCCTTGTTTCCTTCCTGATTTGACTTCTTAGGGGCAAATGTAAGTTAGGGTCTAATTATTTCATTTGTTTTACAAAATGTATTAAATCAATTTAAGATATCAAAACTATGGAAACCCTGCTTTCTAGGATTTACTATTAAAAAAACTACAACTGAGCAAATCTGAATGTGCCCATTCTATTTATAGATGAACTAATTCTTTAATATCTCAGGCATCGCACACTTCCTGTTTAGCTAGTATTGGGAGGAATAATGACTTAATAAAAATTTCCATCTCTTGGTAAACAGCTTGAATGGAGCAGATTATTTATTCCTAGGTGAAGAAGCTGCCATTTCTGCTTTGAACATCATTATTCTGGAATCAAACCTTGGTTGTGTAAAAGCTCTATTACTTGCCCATCAGCATTGTATGGAGACACCTAATTTTTATTCCTTAATGTTTATAATTGTATTTTATTATTTACACTTAATAGCTAAGGCTTACTATAAATCTACCTAGCTAATTTGTATTGCATTCTTTCTTGAAATTATTCTGCTTTGTTTTATTTTTCTATATATTTATCCTGGCTACTTTTATCTTATTAATTTTTATAACATCAAATATTTCCTTAATCATTACATTGTAACTTGTATTTTATAGGCCTTTATTTATGGCAGCATATCTTCGAAGGTTTGCTTGAGCCTGCAGATATAAAAGCTCAGTGGAGAGAAGGAAGCATAAAAATAGGAAAATCATATTTCAGGTATCATCTGTATAATGTGTCTTTTCAATGTACAGATAGTATTTTCATAGCCTAGTATAATTTGATACATTAAATAATGGAAAATGCCAATATGAATGTTTATTCAACAACATGGATTCTTCCTGTCCTATTTAGTACTAAAGAATATCTTCTGTTGCCAATGGGAGAAATAAATAGATTCTTAAAACTGGGTTTGAGGAACCTTTGATTTGTTTGTTCTAGACCCTACCCTTTATACAGATTTTTTGTTTTTTGTTTTTTATATTCAATTCGTGGCAGTAAGCCATTTCAGACAGTGATTTTCAATACAGAAAATTTACCTAACCTGTATTTTTTACAGATGAATCAAAACTAGATATAATAATAAACTACTGTTATTTGAAAAAGGAAATGAATTGGACCTTATCAGTTTTCAAAACTGTTTTATGAAGATGAAAGGACAGACATTTTTGGCCTGATTTCTCCTCTTTTGGCTTTTCCCCCATGCATCATAGATATAATCAGCAGCTCCTGATTATTATTCCTACAGTGATCGGACTCTACTAGATAAGATTACCCATACCTATGTTAGAATATAGCCACAGGGAGTATGATTACTAAAATGTCATTTTAGCACAATAGGCCAGCATTTCCTTACGCTTTTTAAGTTATCCTCAGTATGTGGCTAATATATAGCTTTATTTTACATTTCCAAATCCTAGGAAGATTCAGAAAATCTTGTACAGGTATTTTGAGATTTGGATTAGTTGAGGATTAATAAACCAAACTTTAATTCAGAATTACTACATAAGCTGAATGACTTTGCACTCCCTTAAAAAAAAGTTATGCGGCTTGGGAATTCTGGATTCAGCACCATAGGTGGAGGAAATATTACTCTGTATGCTTTTTTTTTTTTAACTTTGCTGGATTTGAGAAAGCACCTTTTTTACATTTAACATATAATACTTCCATTTAGGCTGGATGCAGTAATGGTTTAATGAGGTGCTACCCTCAAAATATAATATTTTAAGCCTCCACAAAATGAAACTGCCTAGGGCAGTGATGGCGAACCTTTTAGAGACCGAGTGCCCAAACTGCAACCCAAAACCCACTTATGCATCGTCGGGTNCCGGGTGGGTGTGGCCCATTGGGTGGGCGTGGCTGCGGTGGTAACAGCAGACTGGGTGGGACTAAAAAGTTCAATCAATCCCAACTTTGCAAGATCTTTTTTTTTCCCCGGGAGAAGTTGAAATTGGCTGATTGATTGAACCTTTTTTTTTTGTACACGGTGGCAGAGGCCTAAAGCAAAAAGGTTTTATAAAACCCAGCTGAAGGCCTAGGACTGGGGCAACGGCACGCGTGCCCACAGAGAGGGCTCTGAGTGCCGCCTCTGGCACCCGTGCCATAGGTTTGCCACCACTGGCCTAGGGATTGGAGCTTATACCAAAACTCTAAGTGGAAGGATGTGTTTCTGTGAAAGATGAGCTGATAAGATAACCAGTGGGCATAATCACATGATCAGTCAGCTTTCCTTCCTGAAAAACATAGGCTACTTCAGCTTTGATTGCACTGATTAGATTCTTTTTACATTGTAGTATTGTTAAGTTTAAAACCAAAGCAATCCTTTTGTTTCTATCTTACTGGTTTGCTTTCAGAAATATGATGTTATGGTAGATATACAGAACTGAATTCAGGTTAGACACACTATATTAGGCAGGATATTTCTTTAATTCCTCAGTGCAGCCTAATAGCAATCTTTCATTTAGCTAATTAGGTCCAGACTCCTTGAAATTAGCCAAGATTGACTAAATGCTGCTACCTAACAGGACAAAAGGACACTGGTATGTTAACAGAAATCTTAGCAGCTTCATGGAGTGGTCTCAGTATTTGTATGATAAATAACTGCACCATTGTGTTTCACTTTGCATCCACATTGTCATAACAGTGAGGTTTAAGACTTTGCATTAAGGGCCGACATTGACAGATTGTAATTCCCTTTTGGTGTTGGAGAAGTTGTACAGTGTTTTTATACATTCTATAAAAGAGGAAAGTAAAATTATTTTTAGCACCAATGAGACACAATGGCAACTGTTACTTAAACTGACTCTATGTACATATATGTGTAGCAGTGTATGTGACACATACACCATATATACACACACATATACACCTGTGCACTTTTTTTCTGTTTGTGCTTTGTTTACAGTTTCATCACAGGCCCATCTGTAATTCCTGGTTACTTCTCTGTAGAAGCTGAAACTGTTGTCTTAATACTGAATGGCAGAGAAGAGGGAAAGATCTCCTATGCCACTCAGTGGCTACATTATGCACAAACACTAGTGCAAACGCACAAGCTTCAACATGTTGCTGTTGTGTTGCTTGGGAACGAACAGTGCAAAAATGAATGGATTTATCCTTATTTAAAATCCTATGGAGGGTTTGTGGAACGATTTTTTCTAGTTTATGACAGCCCCATAGTGAATGAAGAAGATATTTTTCAGTGGCCTCTAGGAGTAGCAACGTAAGTATTGAATGTAATCAAAGAGCACTTTTAAAATTTGCATGAAATTTGAAATTTTTGGCAGATTCTTATATATAAAATTAATTAACATGAAAATAGTTTTAATATTTAAAACTTTGTAAAATTTCTGACTTATAAACAAGTAGATGACAGTGCAATCTTGTGTTGCCAAATTGAAAAATAAATACCACTGAGTCAGTTATTCCCAGATCATATAGGATTGTTCTCTTTTAACAGGCCTAATATTCTTTTCAATCCAATTAGTATGTTTATGAAAATCTTTGCTTATAGTTATAGACATTTTTCTGTGGCTGAACCAAGTTGGTCAATGCTCCAAAGACCAAGACCGTATCAGTGTAACTTCTTGGGAACTGTTTATAAGAATTCATCTAGAAAAATCGTGTTGGAGATATTGATGCAAAGTGGGCTTCACAAGCTCTGTTCGATTTCAGCCAGAGAACAGTAAGAAACATCATTTGTAATCATGAAACCTTTAAGAAATTAAAAATTTGTATTTTTGTCTTTCCTTCAGTAGCAATATAATGTAATCATTTTTATAATAATGGAGGAAAATAGCCAACATTATTGGGGATAAGAATGTGTTTAAGCGTACTAACTGTGATGCCTTTTAAAAATGCTGTAGGTGTTTACATATGAAATTTAAATGTGTGAAATACAGTGAAGTTCTGCTACAGGATCAGAGACTCAGCTGATCACAGCTTCTGTGAATTCCCTTCTAAGAATGTCTCTAAGAATGTTATTATCAAATTCCTGGGTGTGCATTTAACAAGTAGGCTGGCTTGGTCGCTCAACAGTGAGACACTGGTGAAGCGGGCACAGCGGCGCCTGCATTTTCTGCATCACATGAGAAAAGCACATCTTCCTTCCCCTGTCCTTACCACTTTCTACACAGGGACGATCAAGAACATCCTGTCATACAGCATCACAGTCTGGTTTGGAAGCATCACTGCTTCAGACAGGAAGGCGGTGCAGAGAGTGGTGAGGATGGCTGAAAAAAATTTTGGCAGTTCCCTCCCTTCCATCCAGGACATAGCATATGAGCATTGCAGCAAGATTGTCTGGGACACTACACATCCTCTTCATGACCTATTTTCCTTATTACCTTCTGGGAGGAAGCTTTGTGGTATCTGAAGCAGAACATCCAGATTCAGTCACAATTTTGTTCCATATAGTATTAACCTTGTGAACTCTAAAGCTTCCTCCTTCCATTATGTATTCAAGATGAACAGTGATTAATATTTATATGTTACTTATATGTAAGGGTGTAGGTCTATACATATGTTGTATATAGTATGTTTAAATGTGTGTTATGTATGTGTACACTTCGAGAGCAACTAAATTTCATTTTTAACGTGTGCTATTGTGCCCACAGTAAAAATGACAATAAAGGTTATCTATCTATCTTAACTTACTATTATAAGCCCTTAGAAAGTGGCATCATCTGAGCTCAGATGCTAAACAAAATTGAGCTTGATAAACTCTTGTCTTGAGACCTTCAAGGAAAATAGATTTATAGACTGGACAGAGAAATCAAAAAGACATTTTTACTGCTCTGGTGCCAAAAATGAGTGCAAGAAATCAATAGAAGTCTGTTTTGAGTCAAAGGAAATTTGCTTTGCTTAAATCCAAGATAATTTATAAAAATATAATCTAGTTACTAAGTATAATAATAGTAATAATTAAATAGATTTTAATGATTTGCCTAATCTTTAGGCATTTCTATTGCTGTTGTAGTTACTACACTGAAAATAGATTGTGAATGTTTACATTTTATTAGTCATTTTATTTACTTTAAAACAACAATGCATTTTCAGACTCTGTTGTCTTGTTTTAGGTGGACTCCTCAAGAAACTAATGAGAGTTTGCGAATCTATCAAGATGCATTGTTGGAGAGTGATCTTACGTTATGTCCAGTGGGAGTAAATACCGAATGCTATAGAATCTATGAAGCTTGTTCATTTGGCTCTGTTCCTGTGGTAGAAGATGTAATGACACCAGGCAATTGTGGAAATTCATCTGTGCACCATAGAGCACCACTGCAATTACTAAAGACCCTGGGAGCTCCCTTTATCTTTATTAAAAACTGGAAAGAGCTTCCTGCTGTTTTAGAAAAAGAGCAAAATATGACTCTACAACAAAAGATTCAAAGAAGGAAAATACTTATGGAATGGTATCAGCAATTCAAAGCACAAATGAGACAAAAATTTGTTAGCATCTTAGAAAAAGCCTTCTTACCTATGGATAAAGGTGATTGATTATGATTTCAATATAAACTGAAATATGGTTTCTTGCAGTCTTTCAGTGAAATATCATTTTTTAAAAGAAAATACTTTTTGTCATCTTTTGTAAATAAAAATATGAAAACATCCAGGAAAAATAAATGCATATCTGTGATGTAGAAATGTTGCACAAATGCTAGCTCTTCCTAACGTGTACACATGACAGATTCATTTTAAATGCCCTTTTAAATTACTGTCAGATATGCTTAAAATTAAATATTGGAAAATTTCTCCAAATGAGCCAACTAAACATTTATGAAATTAAACCCTAAGATACAGATCTCTGGGACCTTTTGAATGTCAATGCATCTATTTCTATCTTTATTTATATTTCATTCTATGTTTTTAGAGGTTGGACAGGATATAATACATTTTCCAAGGAATGAATAGGTCCCTCCCTATAAACATTTTTATTGTTGTCCCGGATAAGACTCACCACTGCCTTGTCATCTGCATACTTCACAATATGATTCGTAGCAGACTTGGCACAGCAGTTATGGGTCATCTAGATCAGGGCTTCTCAACCTTTTCACCGATTGTACCACTTTTAGGATAAGGCAATATTCGAGTATTACCAGTTGCCTAGCAAGGTGTCAAAAACTTGACCATAAAAAAAGGACAAAGTGATAAAGTACAGGCAGTCATCGACTTACAACAGTTTGCTTAGTGACTGTTCAAAGTTACAACGCCACTGAAAAAGTGACTTATGACCATTTTTCACACTTATGACCGTTGCAGCATCCCCAGGGTCACATGATTTACATTTGGATGCTTGGCAACTGATTCATATTTCTAATGGTCACACTGTCCCAGGGTCATGTGATCCCCTTTTGCAATCTTTTGACAAGTGAAGTCAATGGCTGGGGGGCTTGTGGGGGGGCGGGGGGCTATGGGGGAAATCTAGGGGTCTCCAGTGGAGGGGGGTAGGATTGGGGTGGGCACCAGGGCATGGTCCATCAGAGGAGCCTCACCGTCTGTCTTAGGCTGCCCGGAGCACTGGGTAGCGGAGGGCAAGCACCCAGCCCAGTCCTCAAGCTCCTGGGGCACAAGGACCCTGCAGCTCAACCCAGTCCAGCCCCACTTTCCTGAAGGGGCGCTGGCTGCACTTACCTCCTCCTTGAGGCTGCTGCTGCTGTGCTCACTTTCCTTGGCCAGGTTGCTCATGGTAGGTGCAGGAGGGCAAAGTGCATGGGTCAGAGGAAGGCCCACTCCCTCTCCATGTGAGGAGACCTGGCTTTGTAACCAAAGCATCCTTCGCAATAGGATGGGAGACCACCAGGTTAAGCCAGGAGGAAGGGCAAGGGATGGCGAAAGGGTAGCAGGGCTGCTGGTGGCCAAGTGCTAAGGCAGGACTTCCCTCAGCCTCCCTCTCATTATAAACTTCCTTCCTTCCTCCTTTTTTTCCTTTCCTCTTCATTCTCCCTTTTTCTTCTTTCCCCTCTTTCCTTCTTTTTCTTTGTCTTTCCTCTTTTCCTTTCTCCTTTCCTGTCCCTTCTTGGATGCTCAAATGCAAAAGGGGAAACATTTCTCGATGCTTCCTTGCCTTGTGATCAAATGCCACTTTTGCTAGTAGTTTGTGGCCACTTAAAACATTGAGAAAAACCAGGCTCAGTTTATCCTGTGCTTGCATTTAGTGGGGGCGTCCACAGACAACAGTATAGCAAAACTGTCAAAATGATGGCTATGATAGTTGATCAGAGCTCCTCTGTTTCTTATGTGCAACAGCTTTAGCATTTAGGAACAGAGGTAGCTTAGTTGCTTTTCTATTAATACATAATCCTTAAAAGGGCTCTCTTGTAGGGACCCTGCCCTGGTCTAATTCAGACGGAAATATAGCAAAGGAAAATATTTTCCCCTACTCTGCTGTTAGGGTTCCAACAGATGAGACTCTTCAAAGAACTTCGAGGCATTCTTTACCTTAAAGAATCTTTATTCGAGTAGCAACATATCGGCACATACATAGTCCAAGCCAAAATCTGGTTTCCCCTCCCCTAACCACATAGTATCAAAGCCCAATTCCTCCTCCAACTAACAGTCATAAATCACATTCTCCAATTAGTTTGAAATGCTGCTTTCCCACCAGTTCTACAACCCGCCAATCCTTATTATCTCTTATTATAAAGAACCTTGGTTCCCACCATGATACATTATTGTTTTGTCTAACTAAACTCCCAAAGGCATTCCTCCCCCTCCCCCCAGTATCATCTAATTCAGTGGTTCTCAACCTTCCTAATGCCGCGACCCTTTAATACAGTTCCTCATGTTGTGACCCCCAACCATAAAATTATTTTCGTTGTTACTTCATAACTGTAATTTTGCTACTGTTATGAATAGTAATGTAAATATCTGATATGCAGGGTGTATTTTCATTGTTACGAATTGAACATAATTAAAGCATAGTGATTAATCACAAAAATAACATAGCAATGCTCGCTGGAGAAGCTTACTCTTCCTTGCTCAAAAATGTTGGGAGGGAGGGAAGGGGAAGGAAGGAAGGAAGGAAGGAAGGAAGGAAGGAAGGAAGATTAAAAGGGAAAGGAAGGAGATGGAGAAGGAAGGAGATTGAAGGGGAAAGGAAGGAAGGAGAGAGATTGAAGGGCAAGGGATGGAGATGGAAGGAAGGAAGGAAGGAAGGAAGGAAGGAGAGATTGAAGGGGAAGGGAAGGAGATGGATGGATGGAAGGAAGGAAGGATTGAGTCATGTTTTTCCAGATGGTGATGAACTGCAAGTCCCAGCATTCCCCACTCTTCCACAGTGCTTTTTAGGGCTGCTGGGGATGGTAGTCCAGTAAGGTCTGGAGACACACACACATGCCCTCCGACGGCGAGGGAGGTGGGCCGGGCGGCGCGGGGGAGGCTCCGGTGCCGCAGCTCAGCTCAGCCAGCAGCAGCAGCAGCAGCACGTTGCCCAAGCAGGGCGGGAAGAGAGGGGGAGGTGGTGGCAAGTCATGAAAGCAGCGTCCACGTTCAGGGTGCAAACGCCTTGGACGGTTTGGCTCCCCCACCCCTTTATTTATTGATCTGCCACAAGCTCGTGCAAACAAGCCCCGAGGAGTTCTTAACGAGCGGTCGTTTAAAAAAAAAAAAAAAGCTTTCAGCAACGAGACAGAAAGGGGAACTCGCTCACGGCTCTTTTTTTCCCCTTTCTCGGCGACTGGGAAGGCAGCAGCCAGAGACGCCGCTGCACAAAGGGAGGCGGAGAGAGGGGCGAGGGGGGAAACCTCACTCAACTTTCGTCCTTATCAGACCCGGTTCCCTTCTGGTCGACCCCCAAATTATCTTTCCTCTCTTTTTCTTTCCTCTCTCTCTTCTCTCTCCCTCTTTCCTCCCTCTTTCCCTCTTTCCTCTTTTTCTCTTTCCTCTCCCATTTCTCTCTTTCCTCTATCTCTTTCTTTTTCCTCTTTTTCTCTCTTTCTCTTTCTCTTTCCTCTCTCTTTCTCTCTCTCTGTTTCCTCCCTTTTTCGTTCTCTCTTTCCTCTCTCTCTCTCTTTCCTCTCTCTTTTCCTCTGTTTCTCTTTCTCTCTTACGGCAGCATCGTCGGGGGTCCCCGCCGCCCCCGCGCTGCCTGGCCTCGTCCTCCATCCATCGATGGAGCCGTGGTGGGGGCTGGTGCCGTGCGGCCCGCCAGCCCCTCCGCCAGCCCGGCTGCTCCCCCCAGGCACCCCTCTTCCGGCGCCCGCTCAAGCCGCCTTGGGGGCAGCAGGAGGAAGGAGAGGAGAAGGGCGAGAAAACCGCCGCCGTCCCAGCCGGAACTCTGCGCTGCCCGGCCTCACTCTCCGCCCATTCGATGGAGCCACGGTGGAGGCTGGTGCCACGCGCCCCGCCAGCCCGGCTGCTCCCCCCCAGGCACCCCTTTTGCCCCGGTGCCCGCCCGAGCCGCCTTGGGGGCAGTAGGAGGAAGAAGAGGAGGAAGAGGATGGCAAGGAAGCCGCCGCCAGCACTGGGCCCCAGGAGGCAGCTCTCCTCTCCTACCTTTGTTGAATCTCCTTCCTTCCCGGCAGCCTGGACTCCGGCGCGTCTTCCTGGCCAGCGGGTCCAATGGTCCTGCTGGCTGGGGATCGCAGGGGCTGGTCTCCCTTGGGCCGCAGCTTGCGGGAGGGCTGGCTCGCTCAGCGGAGCCTCCAGCGGGCCGCTCCCAGCAGGGACCCGGGGCTTCCCCGGGCGGCTCCAAGGCCACGAGGCCCTGGCCGCACTTCTCCCAGGGGGTGGGGCACCCGGGCGCAGGGCCAATCAGGAGCCCTGCAGGAGGTAAGTCCGCCTGAGAGAGAGAGAAGGGAAGTGAAAGTGCCTCTCTGTCTCTCTCTCTCTGCAAATGGCGGAGGAGGCCATGCGGAGACGGATGCGGAGCGGTGTCTCGGTTCCTAAGACCATCGGAAATATGTGTTTTCCGATGGTCTTAGGCAACCCCTGTGAAAGGATCATTCGACCCCCAAAAGGGTCGCGACCCACAGGTTGAGAACCGCTGATCTAATTCTAACTCTTAAGAGTAAAACATAAAGCAAAATGGCTGTGTCTCCATATGTTGTCAAAGCAAGAACATTCGATGTTAGCAGCGTTGACATCCGGGGCCCCTTACACAAAGGACAGATTTTGTAACGTAAACAAAAGCACATGTTAGGGGTTGCCCCTCGGTTTGTTAGGGTGTTTCCTATAGAAACTTTTGATGAGTCTGTCGGCTTTCACATCGCTATCTTTCACCCAAGTGGCTTCAGACAGTGAGTATCCCTTCCATTGTACTAGGTACTGCAATTTCCCTTTAAAAATTCTAGAATCAAGAATATGCTTTACTTCATAGTGAGTTTGACCTGCTACTATGAGGGGTCCGGGTGCTTCTTCAGGGGAGGTCTTAATGTGGAGCCCCTAACAGATTTCAACAAGCTGCAATGGAAGACAGGGTGCACTTTCCCTAAAAGCCTAGGGAATTTTAACTCTACTGTGACCGGGTTAATGATCTTTACAATGCTAGGTAATTTGAGGCATAAATATTTAGTCGACAGATAAACC